AGAATAGAATAGAATAGAATAGAATAGAATAGAATAGAATAGAATAGGCGAGGGGATGGCAGCGCTGCTTCCCAGGCTGGCGGGTCTGGCAGAGAGAGCCCGAAGCTGCCCGTTCTTTCCATCCCTTACCCAGCCCATCCCCATCCCCACGCATCTCCAAATGCACCGGCAGCTCCAAATGCTGCAGTGGCATGGGCATCGGGCAGAGGCGTTCACTCGGCGGGGCTCAGCTCGGAGGAGGATATGGCATAGGCCGTCGTCTTGCCTCCCTGTCCACGGATGGGTGGGTGCTATCACTGCCTCGGTGGCCTCTCCCGGGGGGTCAAAAAAAAAAAAGGCCCGGCCTTATTTTGTGAGGAACACGGTAATATATCCACTTTGGTATATCCGCCATTTGGCCACAATGGCTTCTAAAACTCCAGAGGTACAGAGTGTGCTTGAGAAAGAATTAACTGAACCTAGAGAACTGAAAGCATAATTTATTAATATCATAAATTTTAAACGTACAAAAATAATTTTGGATACTATACTAGAAATTTGGTATAATGAATTGGAATATCCTGCATTGCTCAGTATTTAACTTCAACAATATATTGGAAGAAAAATGATACTGTTTGCTTGTTAAAGATTTTAAGAATTGTAAGAAACATTTCATAGGATTTATAAATTTAGCCAAGTTTTTCAGAAAATGTATTTAAAAGGTTATTAATATTCATCTCAATCTTTTTAAACTGGCTTTATAATGAAGGAATGCCCATTCCAAACTATGGAATGGCAGTGGAATTTAGAAATTTGACTAACTGATGTTTGTGTTTTTTCTTTTTTTTCTTTTCTTTTTAGTTCTTTTGGTTTTTTTTCAATTTCTCCCCCCCCCCCTTTTTAAGCTTTAGGTTATTTTATCAAAGTTATACTTTGTGTGTCTGTGTGTGTCTATTTTTTTGTGTGTGTTGTTAAGAAAACTACAGTGCTTTAAAATTCAACAAATATTGTAAAATGAAACAAAAAGGAGGAAAGATTCAATAAATCTACCAGTAAATAAAGATGATCTGAACTTATAGTGTGAAGGATACATACAGGGAAGTGAAGGTATAGGTTTAATTATGAATGTAAAGGCTAAAATGTATGTCAGAAAACATAAATTCATATTTCATATGAATTTCATATAGGTTTCATATAGGTTGTTAGTATGTATGGAAGCAGGATTTCATAAATATATTACATTTCAATGAATGGCAGTAAAGAGCCAGAATGAATTTTGGAGGAAATTGTGCAAAATTTTGAATGAATGTTAGAAAAAAAGGGTTTTTATTTGTTTTTGTTTTTTTGTTCGGTGGACAGTTATAGGTACAGAGAGAACAAAGAAAAGAGAACCAGGGGAAAAGATCAGGTTATTATTGAAAATAGTAGGATGAATGAGAATAGTGACTGGTGACTTATGCTTAGAAAAAGGTTTGTCATTTTAGAATATTTTTAAAGTGTACATACATACTGTATTTAAGAGAAATGAATTGACAAATCTAAACGAAAGTAATATGTCAAAAACACAAAGGACGTAAGGATGATGAGAGATTCTGAATGCAGAACTGATCACTATTTACTTGTGTTGGGGGAGTGTATCTTGTGGGAAGAAATAGAAGTAGAGCATTTGCAGAAAAAAAATCTATAGGAAAAAGCATAAGAAGATAGATTAATCTAACAGAATGAATGGAAATGAAATGTTAAATAATTAGGACTTGGATATTGCTTAGAAAAGATAAAAATGAAGTGCCACAGAAGTGTGTGGAGTTACTTCAATGGAAAAAAGTGACAGAATGCTTGATGGTGTGATGAACTGCAATGGCCTTGAGTGAGAAAAAGTGCATAGAAAAGGAGAATTACCATAAAAAAAAGAAGTATGAAAGATACTTACAGGTAGTTCTTCTGACTACAATTGAGCCTAAAATTTCTGTTTCTAGGTAAGAAAATTGTTAAGTGACTTTTGTCCCATTTTACTTACTTTCTTACCACAGTTGTTAAGTTAGTCACTATAGTTGTTAAGTTAGTAACATGGTTGTTAAGTGAAAATGGCTTCCCCATTGACATTGCTTGTCATAAGGTCGTAAAAGGTGATCACATGACTTCAGGACACTACTGCTGCCACCACCATAAATATGAGCCAGTTGCCAAGCATCTGAATTTTGATTCTGTGATAATGGGTCATAAGCTTGAAAAATGATCATGTCACTTTTTCCAGTGTTGTCGTAGAAAGCAGACTCACACCCACACAGAAGATGAGACACGACCACAGACCAGAAGCCGCACTGCAGCTTCATCACTACCCGCTTCAAACCGCTCCGAGCCATACATGAAGTGAACTGACACCTACCATGAAGATGCGGCATGACCACGAAGCCAAACAGGAGGATCACAGCTCACCAGCTCAAATCCCCCAGCAACTAAGACTAACCTGAGCACAACCAAGCCCCCGCCTGAACAGAACACACCTCCAGCCAATCAGAACACGGCCAACCCCCCAACCAATCAGAACACAACCAAACTCCCAACCAATGAGAACACACCCCCACCCAATCAGAACACAGCCAAGCCCCCACCCAATCAAGTCACACCCCCACTAGCAGTTAAAAGGAAGAAGCAGCTGCAAGCTCACATTACTCTGAGAAGCACAGAGCCGAAGACACAAGCCTGAAGATGATGAATGAGACTTCATCGAAATGTTGCCTAGATACTTCCAATCTTACGTGGGAGAAAACCCGAACCACCAAAGATCCACATACAAATACCCGCGAGAACCTCAGAAAATATATATATATAGTTATATATATAGTTATATTTACACCAAGACAAATTCCTTGTGTGTCCAATCACACTTGGCCAATAAAGTATTCTATTCTATTCTTATGAGTAGTAAATCAAAATTAGTAAGGTCAAGGATAAAATGATAAAGGAATGTGGACTGAATAAAAGTGTGATTTATGAAAGACATATGAAAAGGGATGGTCTGGTCATGTACAGAAAATGAACGGGGGCTGAAGTGCAGAATGAATACTGTTGGAAGAATCATCCAGTTCCAGTTCCAAGCACGGAATAAAATGGAGATTGGTTGGAAAGAAAGGTTCCCTTTATTGATGAAGCAGAACCACTAACCACATGTGATTCTGGGACAGCTGACAAAATGGAATTTAGGTTTTATACCTTCTGGATTCCTATGGGTTCATGTAGGGGTCATGGCTGGCTTTATAGGCAAAAGGGGAAATGCAAATCCTAAGGGTTTGTCTGAGCTAATTTAGTCAACCTTTGGCTTGTATTTATTTGATTGTATTGCTTATTGTGATTCTATTGGTTATATTGCTTATTGTGGTGCTTATCTGAAGCTTCTGCCTGACCCAGTCTTTCTGAATTTAATTTACTAATTCAGAAAGACGCGGTCAGGCAGAAACTTCAGATAAGCAACACAATAAGCAATACAATCAAAAAAATACAAGCCAAAGGTTGACTAAATTAGCTCAAAAAAAAAAAAAAAAAATAGCTCAGAGAAACATTTCTTGCAGAAATCTGCATTTCTATAAGCTGGCCTCCTCAATTTCTGCTTGGGGCAGGGAAACTCAGGCTAGTTTCTGCATCCCTTAAGGTATTTTCCATTTCTTCTTTAGGAGCAATATTCTATCCGCTTTTTTAATATCCCCCAAAATATTTCATTTTTCGGGGAGGTGGGTGTTTCCACAATACATAAAAGAGAATGGTTTGGGAGGGAAGTTATTGTTGGGCGGCCTTTGAGATACTCAAGAAAGAAGGGATGAGAAGTTTAAAGAACAAAGTAATGTAGGAAACAATGTATGATATGGTAAAAGCAGGAAAGATTTGCAATATATGAGAGGTTATAATTAATTATGTATATAGGACTAATTTTAGCTATATTTTTATCTCATGTTTCTAGATTTTTTTTGGTTACTTTGTCTTATACTTTATGGCTTTCAGCACTCTGCAAAATGTTGCTTACAGAGAAAGGAAACATAGGTGCATGTGTTTATCCATATACATACACAATTGCTTCTTCTCAGCAAATATAATTATTTTGAAGAAGTAATAGCCAATTTTTATGCCAGATTTTCTACTTAAGAAACTAGCCACAAATTAAGGCTAGACCAAATAAAATTTGGTATGTAGGTTAGTAGTGGCATTTAATTATCCTCTTAGAGATTGTGTAACTTCATAGATTAAGTCAGTGCTGTTTTGTAACCTAATTGTCCTGCTATCATACTTGCTAGAATTATATGTGTGTACACATTTGCAAACTAATAATCTAACGTCAGGAAATAAGCCTAGAAAAAACAAATTGGAATATTTATCTTACATTTATTGGGATAAGGAACAGTGATACAGTATCTTAAATGGCAAATATACCTGCCATTCACCTCATTTATGCTCTCTATACAATGAGTGTACAAGTGAAGCCTTTAGGCTTAATCCTCATAAAAAGGAAGATAAATTACATATCTTTTTCTGCCACTTATTACAAAACCAGTTTATTCCCAGCTGTTTTTCCTGAAGGAGAGGAGGAATCTCCTGAAAAACAATCTTGGGAAGGAAGAAGGGTCCAGTAAAGTATGTGTGTATATGTGCATGGGTAGACAAAGAATATGAACATAGTGCTGACACTGCATTAGGGCATAACATGATGTATTTGTTTCTGATTTGCATGTAATGTTATGTAAACCCTGCCCCATGACTTGTAAATTATGCTTTGTAGCTTAATATATTGAAAAAAAATCCAGCCAAGTCTGGTTTGTTGAATAAGCACTAGTTAAACACACTTATTGCATGTGTTAACCCAGTCTGGGTATGGATTCAGATGGAACTGTTTGTAAGACTAGATGTATGGATGAGAGCTCATAATAACTAAAGCATTGTGAACCAAAACCTTTCAAGATTGGGGACTGTGTATATTTGTCCACAAAATTCTTAAAATCATTACAACCCTCTAAGAAATTAGCACGAAAATCCATTGGCCCATTCCCCATCTCCAGAATTATTAACCCCCGTGATAGAGCTTCAACTTCCAAAAACACTTAGGCAGATTCATCCAGTATTTCACTGTAGCTTGATCAAACCAGAGATCACTTCAAACCTCAGACCCCTCCTTATGTGCTCATAATAACTAAAGCATTCTTGCCCCCATTCCCCTCCCAAAATCCAGTTTTGGGTTAAGAGAAACTATTAATCCCTGGCACTGTTCTGCTGGAGGAGAGTTATTTATTGGCTAGAAGCCTGACATAGACAGGGATTTTCTACTCGCTTGTTCTGATCTCTTGTCAGGAAATTTGAAATACGCTGGTTCAGTTCTCTCTTGATCGTATCCTTGTTCAGATATTGAAATATAATGACAGCAATTCCAAGGAGGAAAGAATGGCAGTGTAAGCAATGGACTTTTCCCCTTCAACTGAAAAAAATGAACTTCTGAAAGCTAGGTATTTCAAAAGGAATTCTTTATTGTAAGGAAGTGAATCCATTACTAGTCAAAGCAGAATCTAAGATGCTTCCAGGCATACAGTAATAGATAAAAGGAGTTAGAACCCCTCCCCTTATTCAGATGTGGATTTAGTCAAATAAAGAAGCAACATGTTAATTCCCCCTCCCCATCTCTGGGATAGCTAAAACAGTGTTCTTCCTGACATGTGGTGACTGTGTGGTGCTGGTTTAGGTGTATTTCTTGTCTATTATTAAATCTTGGTCAATTTATAATTGTCCATTTATCATTATTTTTGACAGTGTTTGTGCATTTATTTTACATTCAACCATAAACGTTTTATTTTTGATGTTATTAATAATGAAAATTTTAATTGTTTTGGATTGTAGTATCCTTGATAGATTCACCATATCTAAATATAATAAATAATAAAAAGTTACAGTACATCCTCCACTGTTGGATTATTTGAAAGTTTCAGTATCTGTGGTTTTCTTATTCACTGGTGATTTCCTTTCACTTTATAGGAACTTATCTTTCAGAACATTGTTCTGGGTCGGATAAGGCACCTACTTGCTCTGTGTGTCGCGAAGGTGAATACATGCCTTCACAAAATTCTTCACCAAAGTGTTTTGCGTGTCAACCATGTCGCACAAATACCGGTAGGTTTAATTTTGTATATACAGTAGTTAGATTAAAAATGAGCACTAATAAACAAAGTAAGCATTCGAACTTTGTATATTTATTTGTGTATGTATAGCTATTGGTGCCAGATGTTATTGTTATTAATATGTTATTCATTGGATTTACTGTGTTTTATTATAATATCTACAAACTTATGTTCTGTTGTAGATACAGAATCCTCTGCAATAAAACTAAATTATAAATTACATTTATAAATTGGGAAAGGGAAGGGAGGGCAGGGGAAGGCTAAAGCTGGAATCAAAGGACAGATAAAGTGGTCAGGAAGCATGTTTAATAACAGCCTGCTAAAAATGTTGTCAATGTGGGCTAATTGGCACAGATTTTTGGAGGAGGAACCATTATGGAGTTTTATATCTTTTTTTATAAATTCAAATAAGGTTTTGTAATATTTATTTACTATTGTATTATATTTTATTCCACTCTTATTATTTTTATAAATAATACAAGGCAGCGAGCACACATAATACTCCTTCCTCTTCCTATTTTCCAACAACCCTGTGAGGTAGGTTGGACTGAAAGAGAGTGACTGGCCCAAGGTTACCCACCCGTTTTTCATGCCTTCAGGCAAGACTAGAAGTCATTCTCTTGGTTTCTAGGCCAACACATTAACCACTACACTAAACTGGCTCATAAATTTATATTTGTAATGATATAAAATGTAAGCATTAGAACTGTTTTACAAAGTAAGCATTGTATACAGAAATAAAAGCCTACCAGTTTGGTCTGATGTTCAAGCTATTCTGCTATCATATACAGCAGTATGATCTCGATAGAAATACGCAGCTTTTCCTCACTCTTCCCAGGCTTTCACCAGATAACAAAGTCCAATTGTACCAAGTGGGAAAATACTGTGTGTGGTTGTTACAGTAATCAATATAAGACTACCAGAAATGCTGAATTTGTATGCAAGAATTGCAGCGACTGTCATAATGGAAAAATCAGACAAGACTGTAAGTATAACCTCAAAAAATCAATATAACAATTTAAACCTGATTCCATCTTCATTTGTGTCATCTATGATAAAACAGTATGTTTTTGTTCTACTTTGTTAATCTTTCATTATTAAGTTACTAACCTCTGCACCTGTTTTCTAACTATTTGTACAATAAGTCCCGTGTTAAGTAATACTCTGTTTCCTCTTTATCCTTAATTTCCATCATTAACTTGTCCATTTCGGCACATTCTAATATTTTCTTTATTACCTTTTCACCTATAGGTATACTTTCATTTTTCCAATTTTGTGCATATGTTATTCTTGCTGCTGTTATTACATGTAACATTATGTAGTTCTTTTGTTGTATTTCCGCAGTAGTATACCTAGTAAGAACAGTTCTGGTTTTAGATCTGTTTGTTGTGCTGTCATCTCTTCTAACCATCTTTTTATCTTTAACCAATATTTTTTTGCCATTGGACAGGTTCACCACATATGGTGATAGGATCCCAGTACCTGTTTACATTTCCAGCATTCTGGCAATATGTTTTGGAACATTTCTGCCATTCTTGCTGTGGCAAGTGTCATCTATAGAACATTTTGTACACGTTTTTTTTGTATGCTGTTGACATCATTAATTTGTAATTTCTAAATTCTATGGTATGCCCAAACTTTTTTGCCAATACTATCATGGTTTCTTTTACACATTCTTCTTCCATTTTAAAATTCAATAAGTATTTCTAAAATTTCTTTATTAATTTATCATCTGTTCCTAACAATATCTGGTCCAATTCTTGGGGTTCCTTATAAAATCCATATATTTCTGCATCTTTCTTACATCTCATTTGTATTTGAATATGTGGCCACCAGGCCAAGTCAATTCCCTGATTTTTTAGTTCCTCTTTTTATTTTAAGTCCCTTGTTCATTTAGTATATCTTTGTACCTTACAATTTTATCCAGTTCTAAAGCATTAGGGTATATTAGCGCTTTCATCATAGATAGCCAGACTGGTATTTTCATATAATGATTCTGTTTGATTGTTTTCCCATACTGACAACAGAACATTCCTGATATAATGCCTTTGGAAGTATCTATGTAGTTACTTTTCCTGTACCATACAAATGCATGCCACCCCAATTGTAAATCATGCCCTCCTAACGTCAATATTGTTTTGTTCTTCAACTTTATCTACTTCTTCATCCATGTGAGCACTGGTAATACAACTCCCAGTCTGGTAGCCCAAACCCTCCCTTATTTTTAGTATCTTACAGCAGTTTCAATTTGATTCTTGTTTTTTTACCTTGCCAGGCAAACTTTGAAATCAATTTATTTAAGTCCTCAAAAAACTTTTTTCCTAGTTTTATCAGGATTACTTGAAATAAAAATAGCAATTTCGGTAAGATATTTATTTTTGTTGCGGCTATCCTTCCGACCAACTACAGCTGTAGATTTTTCCATTTTTCCAAATCTATCTTTATTTGCTGTATTAATTTGGTGTAGTTGTCTTCTTTAATGGATGCACATCTTGCTGTTAGCCAATTCCCAGGTATTTAACTTCTTTAGTTATCTGCATGTACATCTTTTCCATCAGTTCATTTTTCTGTTTATTTGTAAGATTCTTTGTCAATATCTTGGTCTTTTCCTTGTTTATTTTAAATCCTGCCACCGCATCAAACTCTTCTATTTTCTTTATTAATTTGGGTCCCGTTTCTAGGGGTTCCTCCAAAATAAATACTAAGTCTGCGAATGCTTGTACTTTATAATGTTCTTTTTTTTAATCTCCAAACCTTTTATTTCTGGATCTTGTCTGATCTGTCTAAGCAAGACTTCCAGGGTTAGTATGAATAAAAGAGGGGATAGTAGACATCCTTATCTTGTGCCTTTGTTTATGTTAAAGTTTTCTGGTATTTCTCCATTTACTATCACTTTTTGACTGGAGTATATTGCTTGGATCATATTTGCAAAGTTTTCACCAAAGTCCATGCTTTTCAATTGTAATATCATAAACAGTCAGCTCATATTATCAAAGGCTTTTTGCGCATCCAGAAAAAGTAATGCTAGCTGTTTTTTGGAATGGACTTCATAATATTCTAATACTTTCAAATAATTCTCATGTTATTTTTCAATTATCTTTTGGGTAGGAAATCATTCTGGTTGGGATGTATACATTCATTTAAAAATATTTTTAATCTTTCTGAAATTATAGAGGCATATATTTTGTAGTCTACATTTGATAATGATATTGGTCTGTAATTTTTTATCTGTTGAGGATTTGTGTCTTCCTTTGGTTTTAATGTAATGTATGCTTCTGTCCCAGTTTTGGGGAGCTTGGCCTTTGTTAGTGCTTCATTGTAGACCTCCAGCAATGGCGGTCCTAATGTCTCTTGTAAACTTTTATCAAGTTCTGCTGGAAGCCCATCTGGTTCAGGTGTTTTATTATTTTTTTGTCTTTTAATTGCTCCCATATTGTCGTTATTCTTTCATTTACCATTGTTCTCACTGTATCTGGTATTTTGGATAGACCAGCCTTTTCCAAATATTGTTTTATTGTATCTTCTGACATTTTTTCTTGACTATGAAGTTTCCTAAAGAATTCCTGGATTATTTTCTTTTTATCTTCATTCTGATGATGGAGGATCCCCTTCTCATCTATCAGTTGGTGAATCATTTTCTTCTCTTGCCCTTTTTTCAACTTATACACTAGCCATCTACCTGGCTTATTTTCATGTTCAAAAAAGTTTTGTTTTGCTATTTTAATTATTTGTGCCATTTCATCTTGCACTGTTAGATTTAGTTTATGTTTTATTAAATTGGTTTTCTCTTTTCTCTTGGTTTTTTTTTTTTTTTTGCAGATCATTCTGCAGTTCTATCTCTAGTCTTTAAGCTCTTCTTGTAGTATATTTTGCTGTTGTTTCTTTTTCTTGCTTCTTCTTGCTATATATGTTATTGGTAATCCTCTAATGTATGCTTTTGCCATATCCCAGACATTTTGCAGTGATGTTTCTTCTTTTCTATTTTCTTTAAAGAAAAATTCCATTTCTTTTTCCATCATTTGTGTGAACTCCTTGTCTTTTAAAATAATTTGATCATTGCCCATCTCTGTTTCTTCTTTTGTCCCCTCCATGTAAGTTTTATAGGGTTGTAGTCTGCCCATATGTTCGTTTCTATGTCTACCTCTTGGACATTCACACCACGTCTATTTTCGACCATGATTGATGTTTGTTCGAATAGAATGTATATTGGTTTGTCTTTGTGTTTAGCTCTCTCCATATATCCTGTAGGTCTATTTTTTTGTGTCATTTCAGAAAAGGCTTTTGGAAGTGTTCTTATTATTTTACTTCTTTTGCTGCTTTTATAATCTATTTTAACATCCACAATTGTGTTGAAGTCCCCTATTATACATATATTTTTGTAGTCCATGAACTCTCTTGTTGAACTCTTCCTGTTTATTATTTGGAGTGTATATTGCAATCAAGAGAGTTTGTTTCTGGTTTATTAACACCTCCATCATTAGTATTCTCCCTTTTTCATCTGCTTATATTTGTTTGGTTCTTAACATTTCTCTAACATAGTGCCACCCCTCTTTTCTTTTGGTGTGCTAGTGACAAGTACAATTTCCCAATTTGGGGGTATTCCAATAGATTGCCATGTTGCTTTTTAATATGTACTTCTTGAAGGCAAATTATATCCAATTTTAATCTTTGTAGTTTTTTTTCCTTTTTATGGGAGAGTTCAATCCATTCACATTAACAGATACTATCTTTACTTCATCTTCCATCTTTTCATTTATATATAGGTCTTACCCTTCTAGTTGGTCTTATCTCTCTCTCTGTCCTTTTGTTCTTGCACCTTCTCATTCTGTTCACTCATTTTTCACCCTCACTCTTTCTTCTTGATCTAAGGCTTTTTTTTCTATTTGCATTTCATTTTGACTTTTACTTTCTATCTCCTCTCTACTTTCCTGTTCTTCATTTGCAGTAAAATGCTGTTCTAAAAATTCATGTGCTTGAGTATCCACACTAATTTTTTTGTCTTGACAAGTAATCAGAATTCCTTCTGGTATCAGCTCTCTGAAATTAACGTTATAGTTAATCAGTTGTGCTGTCAAGAATTGATGCTGTCTCCCCTGCTCTCTAACTCTCCTAGGTATGTTTTAAGGTCACAATTTCTCTCCCTTTATACTTTATAGGCTCGTCTCTAATTCTTTTGATATTTCATCTCTCAGCATCTTCTTGGCAAACCTCACATGCACCTCTTTTGGTAGTTTATGCCTTCTTGCATAGTTTGTATAAATTCTAAATATTTCCTCTATTTCTCTTCATACATCATGTTTATTTTTCTGTAATACTCCAGCCAGCAGCTCTGTCATCACGTCAGCTAGGTCTTCCTCTTTCTCTTCCACAAATTCTGAAATCTCAAATAATAGGCCGCCTTTTCCACCTTGAGAAAGATTACTGTCTCTTCAAATTCTCTATTAGCCTGTGATAGCTTTTGGTCCATTTCTTCCCATTTTTTTTCTGTTTGCTCAGCCCTTATTTCTATTTTATGTATCACGGTTCATTCTCCGCTATCATTTGCTGGAAGTTCGCTATCTTTTCATGCATCTTACATATATCCCCCTTCATCTCCCCCATTTCATTTTTTATCTCATCATGGTTCTTTGACATAACTTCCTGACTTTTGGTCATGGCTTCTTGGATCGATAGAAGCATCGCATGCATGCTCTGGGTAGAACTTGACTTCTCCAGACCTAGCATGCTTGCTATTGATTTTTGATTGGATGGGCTTGATGCTGCTGCTGATGTTGCTGAGGAGGGTGTAGACGAGGCTTTCTTTCCTATCTTCAATATGTTCAATGTACTTGTCATCTCTAATACTCAAAAGGGGCTTATTCAAAATAAAAGACAAAGTAATTATTTTTACACAGCTAAAGACTATTTCCCACACCCCCTGGTGTACCTCCTTCAACTCTCTGGTATTATACTGGTAGAGATATACCCACAGTCTTAAATTTCTAATCACCTTCATTTAACAAAAATTATCTTTTAGTCTACAAAGTTGATAGTTCTGTCAGGTCTATTAATTACTCATAAGTCCCTCAAAGGTAGGTGCTTCCTCAATTTCTTCTTCCTCCAACAGTCAAATTTGTGGTCCACGTAGATCTAGCCACACTATTATTATTGTAATCCTTTTAGGAATCCTTTTACGAATTAAGATTTGTAATCCACCAAGGCCCCAAAACCCATCAGGTTACTAAGCTTTCTTTTAAAAACAGTACCTAAATAGAAGCACAATTTCTAAGTTCACCGAGAATATTCCCATTCTTTTTTCATTCTTCCACCATTCAATCTGTTTGATGTCCTCACAAATTATCTGTGGATATCACAAGAGTTTATGGAGTCTTTATAGATATTGCATCATTCACTTCCTTTTTGTATATACTCTTCTGGTCAGTAGATGATGCTCTTACTCTTTTTTAAATACTGAAAAAGCTTCTTAAGCATTCTAAATCCAACATCAGTCCAAAAAATAGTAATAAGCATATTCCTAATAGTCTTTGAATATTTAAAGTTCTTTCAAAATAATTGGTTTGGACTTTGCTCTAACTCAGTCTCACTTCCTTCTGCCATTCTTTTCCAGATATGTCAATAGCTCTGAAAACTTAGTTGCCGCTATTTTGGTGGAGCAGAAATCTTGCTCCACCCTTTTTTGAGTCCCACTTTTCACACCCTTCTACTACTAAATCAGGATAAATTCATTTGCAGAAGATTAGAAAGTTCTCACCCAGTATAGCCACGTTGCTCTTTGATTTTTCGCTTCCTATCTCTCACCAAGCTGTCACAGCTTCGGGTCAGCCATGATGACAATCTTCTCTCCTGTCTCTCCCTCTGGGGTTAACTATGACCATCGAGAGTCTCCAGACAGGCAAAATCAATGAGAATAATGGAGCACTGTTCTCCCGATCTGCTTCGCTGTGACGTCACTACCGAAAGTCCCCTTTTTCTTATTTTTATCTGGTTATCTGTGATCTGTCTTTTATCACTTAACATGCATTGTATGGTACCACATACTGAATTAAAAAAACATTCTTCAAAGAAAGTGATATAAAAAAAGAGATAAGTTCAAATTATGTTTAATTAGTAAGGAATGAGGGTAGAGCTATACAGAAACAAAAACATGTTTCAGAGCCTCTGGAACAGGTGTGTCAAACTTGCATCGTCATGGCAGCATCGTGATGTATCGGGACTTTTTTCCCCTTCACTAAACTGGGCGGGAACGGGGCCAGCACATGACATATCCGGCCCACAGACCATGAGTTTGACACCCCTGCTCTGGGGTTCTCTTATAGCATCTGCCTACAACCATTTAAATCATAGGAATCTTTTTCTGGGATCATGCTGCAGCTGTGAAATTCTGGGTGAAAATGCAGCTGATTTAAAGCATTGAAAAGCTCAAGTCTTGAGGACTCCTTCAATTTCTTGGTAACAGTACCACTACCACTGTCATCTTCAGGGATGCTTTTTGGCTTTGCAGTGATGGAATTCTTTGGTAGTCTTCCATTCTAGCCCTGATAACTAATTTTTGAGTGCAAACTATGAAAGCCAAACACTATCATTAGCTGCAGAAAAGAAGTATTAGTTTTTTTCTGTTATTTTGAATATATGTGAGGAAGACCCTCTTTCCTTGTTACAATTTTTAGTACAGTATCAGTTCATCCTAAATTTCAGCATATTATCTAATTTCAGACTTTCTGTGCTTCATTATTTCTCAATTCCATTCTCATAGCATTGCTAATATTTTCCTCTGGTTTTGTCCCTATCTCATAATTAGTTTTAAACTATTTCTTCAAGTTGTCTGTCTTTCCAAACATCTTCTAGCCTGTTCCTGTGTAGTACCCATCACTTTACTTCAAACTTCTTTCATCCAGAAAACAAAGAGCATGACCCCATAAATCAAAGGTATCATGAGGATAGCTATTATTATATTTTAATAGAAATATTAGTATTTCTTCCACTTAATCAAATGCTCCTACTATTTTCTCCCTGGAAACTATTTCTAATTTTCTTTGGAAATTTTATTTCTCATGTTACTACTTCCCAATCTAGCCCACACCTTGTTTCTTGGTTCATCTCATGCAAATGTTAATCAGAACTATCTGTTTAACTTTTTTGGACTATTCCAGGTTGAGTATTTATTTGGATTTAAAAGCCCCCAGCTTATTATCACCTAATTACTACTATTTGCTTTTCCTGCTATTTCTAGGCACGCCTGATAGTGATACAATTTGTGAATGTCACAGAGGATTTTTTCTTAAGGAAGATCAGAATGAATGTCTTCCCTGCAGCAGGTGGGGAAATGTTATTTATCTTGTAATACATGCGGGAGTAACTCCTGGGTTAGATATAACTGTAGGCCTTGTCTCTGCTCTCCCAGCTGATTCATCCTCCTGCTTCCATGCTCATTTCCAGTGGATTTCAACTTATTATTGTGCTTCATAGCTGATCTCTGCTCTAATCCTTTGTACAGTGGGATGGATGTGTCATCATGTGCTTACCTGTTAACAGAATTACAGAGGTGGAAGGGACCTTCAAGGTCTTCTAGTCCAACTCTCTGCTCAGGTAGGAGACCCTATACCAGACATATCAAACATGTATTCCATGGGCCAGATCGGGCCCATGATAGGCCCAGAGTTGTCCCGCAGGGCTATCTTGGAGACAGTGAGGGACTGGCCTGTGGTACCCTGGCCTACGCCCACCTCAGCCCCCAAAGACAGTATCCTGATACAGTCCACAATCTCCAGTTGTCCTGGAACAGTGGTGCTAAAAATAGTTGGGGAGCTTCATGCGTCTCCTGTTTTTTATCCTAATCTGTTGTGAAGTTGTGAAAATGCACATTATGGAATTACTGAGTTCCAGTCTTGAATTTCCCTCCTCTGTACCACCCAGCTGTTTCAGCTTACTCTATTTATACTATTTCAGTTTACTGGATCAACTGTAATTTAAACTTGCCAACCCCAAGACAGGGGACGATAGTGTGACAGAAAAAAGCCATGTATATATTTTTGCATGCAAACAAATGTGAGACAGATACAGGGGAGTCTTAAGCTTGACAATTGCCATACACATGCCCATCCTTCCTGTTAAAAGAGAGACTACCATTCCTCTAGCTTAATCGTTTGCAACTAATGGCTTTTATTCTGGATTTAGCTAAACATAATGAAGGAAATATGGGTTCCTAATTCTAAATGCAAACCTGGAAAGCAATACTTGTTGATTGGGACTAGCAATCCTGAATAGAATTCTTAGCTCTCACTCACAATCTCACACACAAATGACTCCTTACTCTTATTTTAATCTTTTTTTCACCTGACATTTCTTTAATGGGACTCGAGGCCAAATCTAGCGGGACTGAAGAAGGATTAATTTTCTTTTGCTCTTGCTTTCAGAAACATGTGCTTGCCAAGATGCATTTCCACCCTCTTTTGACATTTTAAGGGTCAGTTGAATGGTTTAATTTGAGTAATTTAATTCCCCTATTTTCTAATTCTGGGTATAGATTCAAAGGATAGTAAAATAAGAAATGCTGTTGAATGTTATGAGTAAGTACAGGAATTTCTGATTTCATCTTCTAGCTGCGATAAGGAAGATTGCAAGGAACATTGTGAAACAGGAAGGGTAATTAAAAGTCCATCAAATTCCAAAGGTGAGATTTGAAATAAATTATTTAATATTGTAACTTGATTGATACCATTTCTTTCCATTCACATTTTCATCTTTACTCTAATATTCTTTTTTTCATTAACATTTATTTTTGTATCTTTTCAAGCCAACAATATTCAACATGGTTGTTGTTTTTTTCATTTAGAACTCATATATGTCCTCAGTTTCCTGACTATCATTTTCGCAGTCGGTTTTGCTGTATTTATAATCAAAGCCATCAAGAAATATTTTCCAGAAAGACAGTGCTTCTCTTCCTGTAGTAAGTATAATTAATTGCCTGTTAAGTGCAAAGTGACTGATTTCATTAATTACAGATTTAAAACAGTAAATCAGAATTGGACACAGTGAAAGGCTATCAACACAACTTCTTTTTTCATATTTGTCCCATTAATTTAAGATTGCAAAGACTCGGGGTTTTCAAATGAGAAATTATAATGTGTAGTGTTATGAGATACATATTTCTATTGAACTTTAACAGGTGATTCAGACTCCAGAGAGGTAAATAAAAATATAGCCACCTAAAATGTTTGAGAAGGTGTTTGGCAGAATTCTGATTGTCACTTCAAAGCTGTATAGCAAGTATTCAGACCATTTTTCCCTTTTCAGTATGTTATTAATATTTCAAAATGCACAACAATGCACTTTACACATTCTTTCTCTAAATCAGATAACATATATCTGATTTAGAGAAAGAATGTGTAAAGTGCATTGTTGTGAGAGTTGATAAGAGTGAGCAGATGAGGATTGTCCATCTTTTATAAAGGACACATCCAGCCCTCTATTAAGGAAATGTGAGAGAGAATAGACAACAGATATATTGCCCTAAATTACTTACATGGAAGGATTTGCCTTTGGAAGTACAGCATTAATAAATACTATTTCCCAAATCCCTTGGATTAATTGTTTCTAGTCCAGACTGCAAGGAGGAAAGTGACAATACATATGGCCCCGGGAGCAGTTTGCACCAGTATGTTAACCCATCTTGTGTTTGGTCTATGACTTAGTAACTTCTTTGAATTTATGGACAGTAAACCATGGTTTTGACGTAGCATGTTTTGTGAGATTAGCCTTTGATGACATAATACTGTATTTTATCTCTATTAAATTCCATATCTTATATATTAAGTAATTTTAATATTAAAACACCTATTTGTTGAAAGCAGGGACAAGCCTTTACAGCTGAAACTAGAAAGGTGCTTCAGATTCATCATTCATCATGCCTTAACCTAGATTTGTATAGCTGGTCCAGCTTGTCTGATTTGCCATGTTCTAGCCATACTGTTGCAACTTTGTTATCTAATCTAAGAACTTGTTGGTTAGCTATACTATATTTACAGTAGCTATTAACATCTGTATCCATTGAGAAATATTTTGTTTTAGTATAATTTCAGCTGTTTATTAGTTCAGCATCAACCTGGGAAAATAATAATCAGTTTGATGGAAATGATATACATTTATTGTGTCTTTGATTTTATTTTTTCAGCTTCAGATCAACAGTTAAAAAAGCAACTTGCATCCAAGGTAAGTCTAACATTCCCCACAAGTATGTTCTCCACACAGATCAGGATTAACTTAACATCCCTATTGCCATTGTTGCAAAGTAAGGTAAATTAGGAGCCCTTAGATCCTGATAAATTTATGAATAGATTCTAGGTTTCTGTTTTTTAAATCACTAGCCATTGATCCTTTTTCCCCCCACCAATAATTCATTTTCAATGAACATTCAGATGCTACAATATATATCCTTCTTTAATGCTACTATTGGCTCAAAAAAACACTTATCTATAAATATGCTATCCTTCCCCCCCCCCCCCAAATGATTTATATACTGAAGCCTCCCAAAGTGAGAAAAGGAAGAGAGGGTTGAGGGAGAAACTAGGAGATGCAGCTTCTAAGCTTGCTTAATGATAGACAAAAACAGTATCAAAAAACAGCCACTGAATTAGGTAATACAGTGTAGCATAGCACCTTTATTTCAAATGTAGACCATAATACACTGACTTAAAAGTACACAGGCATAAGGATCACACATTTCCATCTGCAAATGAAATGTAATATGACTAAATTCATAATTAATTGTAATGAAAAGTTCTGTGAATAAAATTATAATATTAATACTAAGCTCTGTAAGCATTAAAATATAGTTTGCAAGATACAATCTAAAATTAAAATTAATAAGCTATATGTGTAAAACTAATCAGAAATGTAGCATCAGTTTAACTCTAATATATGGAATATTAAGAACTATGTAGTACTGGTATTATCTTACAGATTACGATTATAAATAGCTAAGATTTATAAGTTGTAATACAAAACAGAGGCATGTGGCATGTTATTGAGAGAGTATAAGCATTTTCCAATGTGCCGGATTAGCATGCTCTCACAGTCTTAGAGCATTAGCAAGATAAAAATATTATGCATGCTCTGAATAATAAACAGGCTTTGTAGAAAGATATGCTCAGCAATCCTCATTGCCTAGCTTTACAGTGGTAGAGATGTTTCATAGAGGCATTTTCTTATGCTCTCCTCTGCAATGGCAATGATGAAAGCATTCCAACGTATCAATATAAAACCCTTCTCTATTTTGGATCTTCTGAATGCTAGAGGTACATTGCTGTTGATATTATATGCTTCCATTTCTCAGGGCACAATAGATACTCAATCTACCTTGTTCAGTGTTTGGAATATGGTTCTGCAGCACAATGCAATCCTTTTTATATCCCAAAAAATACAGGCTAACCAAGTATTATAAAACCCTAGCACAATCACCTCAGCATTAATGCCTTCTTTCGTGTACCATGGAAATTATTATCAAGGCAGTTAGATCATCTGAAGCAGAGAGAAACTCTTTTACTGATTTCATATCCTTTGACCATCGTACCAGAGGGAGTACACCCATTTCAGATGTAGGAGAACAGCATTGAAATTTGGCATACACAAAGTCATAATCAAATCTTATTTTAGTGTTAAAGTTGCCATCACTTTAAAAGCATCCTGGAAAGCAGATAGAAGATCCAACTTCTTTCATAGATTCCCAAGTTATGAAAACCATCTACTCCAATTGGAGAGTTGTATGCTAATCACTAAAAAGATATAGTGAAAGCAACTGTCAGTGTGTATTATTTAAATGTAGATTATCAAACAGGACTTATATTCAGAGTGGTAGAAACCAACTATCCCAAGATCTCCTTTCAGTCTTCCCCTTTCCTCCCCAGCTTCAGCTTCCAGTACATTTGAACTGAAACCATCTACCACTATCTCATTAGTATACCAGGTTTCCTGGATCATTTTGTTACCACATTTAGATGTAAACTTGAGAAAACAACCATTCATGCTGCTATAGCATGCTGCAACACTCCAGCTCAAGGGGAAACTCTTACACTAGACTTGTGTTAGCAATGGCACTTAGATTTATATACCACTCCATAATTATTTACATTATGTATCTAATCGTGCCCTCTCTAAGTGGTTTCCAGAGTCAGCATATTTACCCCAACAATCTGGGTCCTCCTTTTACTGATTTTGGACGAATGGAAGGCTAAGTCAATCTTGAGATGGTCAGGATCGAATTCTTGACAGTGAGCAGCGTCAACCTGGAATACTGCATTCTAATCACTGCACCACCACAGCTCCCTATCCCTTAATTTGTGACTGCATTCATGAAAGCTAAGGTGGAAGTTTTTGAGATGTATCCTACAATGGAGGAAGATGAGATACAGAGAAAACTGAAGAGAAGAAAAATAGTGAATATATGTAAAATACATTTAAGTGACATTATTTCAGTCACCAAACCTTAAATGATATAGATATAAAATAAAATTTGTCAGTTTGGTCTAGTGGTTTAGACCCCAGCCCAACCTACCTCACAGGATTGTTGTTGTGGAGAAAATAGAAAGAGGAAGGCATATAAAGTATGATCACTACTTTGAGTTATTTGTAAAAATAATAAGGGTGGGATAAAATAAATAAAATAATGAACACAACCAGCATGGATATCACTTTCTTAATATTCAATAAGCCATTTAAAACACGAAGACTTTTAGTGGTAGGACTTCAGTGAAGAGACCACAATGAATTAAGTAAAAGAAAACAGATAAAGATATTAATCATTATTACTACTAAACTTGGTCAATGTTTAATCAAATCTGATGGTTCCTAATGAGATGACATATGTTCCAATACTGGTAGTGCAATAATTTTCCTGTGGAAGTATTCATTGCAATACTAATAAATTATGAATTCAGTTACCAATATTGTATATTGCCAGTGCATAGAGATAGTATTTTATTTAATTTCATCTCTCTCTATATAAAAGCAGAATACCACTCATGCATCTTCACAAAATATCCAGAACTGTAAAGCCTACAAAGTTGAAATTTGGCACATATGTTCCTCTTGGTTTCTAGGTGTTCACGAAGAAAGGATTTTTCGAAATGACCATCAGAGCATTAGTATTTTGTATATTATTATTAACACACTCTTAAGCTAAGGAGTTCTACTCCCCCTCCCCACCTGAAAAGAAATCTGTTCCAAATGCAAAACACAAGCAGAGGAGAGGAGTTTCCGTTTCAGTTTTAGTTTCACAGTACGAGCAGCTTTAGTACAGAACAGTTGAGCTAAGCCACACCCAGGCTCCTTGCTGTCTCCTTCTTGCTCACACAGCAAATATTGTTTCAGTTTCCAAACACACTGACAGCATGCTAGCCAGATGAATACCGATAGATGCTGGTTAGCAGAGGCAGATTTTTCCCCCCTTATTTTCCTCCCCAAAAACTAAGCCTGACCACATAGTTTTGTAGCGAAGCACAGGTATCTAGCTAGTTATTTATAAATAAAAGGGAATATGTGTAGCACTCTTTTCTAAAGTGCCTACAACAACAGGTGGTGGTGGTGGTCAAAGGGGTAGATTGGTCTGTGAGAGAAAGTGGCCGATGCAAAGTCATCCAGTGTGCTTTCAGGGTTGAGGGTGGCATTGAACCATGGTGTAATTTAACATCATAACATGACATCTCCAGGAGAAAGGGTTGACTCAGATTCTGTTATCTCCTCCCTTTCAAGCCAAAAATCATAAATACAACAAACTTGTGTTTAAACTCTTTTTGAACCAATCCCCTGAATTCAGAGGAACTCAGATGTAAAGAAATTTATGAAAAGCAAAGATGTATCGTGACAAAGATTCTTCTCAGACTGCTCAAAGTCTAATCCTGCAGGTCCTGTACCTCATCACTTTGATTTCCAGCTGCCTCATGATTAATGGATTGCATAAAACCATAGATTGGGCCCATTCCTTTCTAGAAAGGGCCAGGAAACAAGTGAGGCAAAATAAATGCTCTTTTGTTCTACCTTGCTCTTTTCTTACCCCACTCCATCAGGGTACATAGTTATGGAATTCCAGGCATGTTCACCATTCCTATAATCCAGCCTTCCACAAGGAGCAACAGGGTGAGGTCTACATGATGTTAGTTAATCCTTCTAATAGGGTGTATCCATCTTGTTCTTAGACTGCAGATAAAACAAAAAACTCTCTTTTGGACATTAAAGAAGAAATGATCCTGGGCACCATGCAAGTGCTTCCACTAAGTCAAGCCCAAGGTCAAGAACTGCCAGACTGCATAAAATCTGCAAGAGAGACACGGATTTCTGACAGTAAGTGCAACTTCCTTTAAGGGAATGTAGTGGATGACCGGTGCTATTAAAAATATCTGTGAACTGTATCTACCAAGATGACATATGGAATATATGGAATATGGCTGCCAATCAAAAGACTAAAAAGCAGGGGGAAAGAAATCTTACTTAAATATTAAAAAGTACAGAGAATCTTAAATATAGATAGTGTGACATCCAAGAATCAAGAATGACACATGGAGTTACTTCTGATTAGTTTCTTTATTGTTGTTTGCCTACAGACAGAATCTTTCCAGGTGAAAGTAACTATTATCCACATAACTATAGGTATATTCTGTAAACTGCTAGGAAAGGATAGTCTTTGCCCTCTTCTTGCCTCCAAGACTTCAAAGCTGTACTGCTTCTTAGCTTTCTAGTAGGCAGCCCCTTCCTCCTAGGATTCCAGATTACAGTGTCTCAGGTTTACTGAGGGATCTTATGTTTTGATTCAAAAGAAAAGAGAAGATATTACTCATTCTAGGCAGCTTACATATTTTATCCTATTTGATCATTATGGGAATATTAGTGACTACAAAACTGATAAATCGTGTCCCTAACCCACGGCCCACTACTGCGTTGTGGCCCATCAGAATCAGCCATGCAAGTATCCCCTCTCCCCTCCCCACTGCCAGCCATCAAGCTGGAAAGGTTGGGGACTATTGTGATAAATAACTGATCAACATAGAACATATTTGTGAACATGTTCACACAAATATCTGTCAGTGCCAGAATTTAAGCATATGGGAAGCCTTGTTCTACGTTAGGCTAAGCTAGGCTAGGCTAGGCCAAACTAGGCTAGGCTAGGCAATTAAGTGTTCAGCAGAGTGATGGCATGGGGGAAACTTTGCATCTAGTTGTTTTGGCATACAATGCTCTACAGCAGCATCCTGAGAGGGGGAGTTAAAACAGTTTATATCCAGGATATGAAGGGTCTATAGATACTATTTTCTCAGGCCTCTTTCTGGTTTGTGTGGTATACAGATCCTCAATGGAAGGCACGCTGTTTGCAATTGTTTTTTCTGCAGTCCTAACTATCTGTTGGAGTCTGTGTCTGTCTTGTTTGGTTGCTGTGCCAAACCAGACAGTTATTGAGATACAAATGACAGACACAATAATTCCTCTGTAGAAGTGTTATCAGCAGATCCTTGAGCAGTTTGATCTTTCTGAGTTGATGCAGGAAGAACATTCTTTGTTGTGCTTTTTAAATTATGGTTATCATATTGTCTTTGTGTTATCTAGATGAAATCCTAGCTAGGATGTGAACAGGGTATATTGTACTGTGAAGAACTACTATATTAGCTAGTATAGGAATGTTTTAAAGTACTAAGTTGACTTGGTCTAGGCAGTGTGACATACACTTGTGCAAATCCAGAGAGTCAATAGAGAAAGTTTAAAACCATTAAAACATCTGGGACAGTTAACAGATAATAATAATAATAAGAAGAAGAAGAAGAAGAGGAAGAAGAGGAAGAAGAAGAAGAAGAAGAAGAAGTCGTCTTTATTGATTAGCCCTTGGGCCATATCAAAGTGCAAAGTCCCAGCAACAATTTGTTACTAAAATTTAATAAAAGCAATTCAAAATGAAATTTGATAAAATACTATTTAAAATGGAACTTGATAAAATACAATTTAAAATGGAATCTAGACAAAATACGATTTAAGATGAAATAGTAATAAAATACAATCCAAAATAAAATTGTAATGATGTACAATAATTTAAGATATAAATAAAATATAATAACATTATATTTCGGAGTCGCCCTTGCAATCTATCCCAATCAATCCCACATATGCAGATCTCAACCGAATCATTTTGTTTAAATACTGTGCTACTTTAAATGTTATTTTCAAGTTCTGGCCAGACCTAAGGTAAGTTATTTTGATATGGGTATCCCAATGGGTCATTCGTCTGATATATAGACCAAGATACCTGTCTCTCATCCTCTTATACACGCAACAGTCATATAGGATGTGAGCCAGGTCCTCTACCTCTGCCGCTCCGCAAATGCAGAGAAGTTAACAGATAATCCATCATTCTTTTACTAAAATGATCAAAATAATAGCTGCTGCTTCTCAAAATGGGACCAATAGTACTCTTCTTAAATTTATATTGACTATTTTTGTTTTAAATACTCCCAAGTCCCATTTCTTTTTACTTGGTTCTAGTAAAATATAAACATAGAACCCCACATAGAACCGGTAAGAAAAAATTTGGAAACCCACCACTGTTTCTTATGCATAATAAGCAGTTAAAATCCACTGCCCCAGATTTATGCTTCTCTTTGAACTTACTTTTTATTCATTTTAAGCACATGGATAAATGTGTCCAACACAATGAGAGGAATGATGAAGAATTTTAGCTTTTCAATATTTTGTGATAGTAATTTTGCAGCTATGAAAAGAAACAGAAGTTTCTCAATCATGTCTTTAATCCTATAAAATTCTTCATCGTCCCATCTCATTGTGTTGAACACATTTATGCAAGTATTTATTTCTTGAATGAATGGTATTTAAAAGTAAAAATTGCGTTGCTAAAAAACTGACAGAACCTAGATCTTGAGGAATCTTACAACAGTTAAGTATAGTGGGCATTTTTTAATTAATATTTTTTTCCCTAACAGATAGTTTTGCTAATGGCTATAGAATTACTCAGGGGTGTCAAACTCATGTTGTCACATCATCACGTGATGTATCATGACTCTTTTTTCTTTTGCTAAAACAGGATGGGCGTGGCCGGCATGTGATGCATCTAGCCTGCGGGCCGCAAGTTTGACACCCCTGGAATTACTTATCTGGGTAGAAATACTGAATACTGTATAGATGATTAATGTGGGGAGGGGGTTATGTTAAAATTTCAATTGAATGGATTTAATGCTTTCACCTTAAGTTTTTATTGCATAATTGTCCTATTCAAATAACTATATGGGAATACAAATTGTTACCTTCTATTTCTAATATATTGATAAAACTTTCTTACCATAGAGAATCTGGTACTGAGGGAAGAATAAAATGCTAGATGCATTTTTTCAATGGTATGTTTTCCCCCCAGGTCCTGTGGTTTTATATGCTGTGATGGATGCTGTACCAGTATTACGATGGAAGGAATTTATGAGGTACCTGGGACTGAGTGAAAATACAATTGACAGGATTTTTTTTGACCACCGGCATGCGCGGGATGCACAATATGAGACACTAAAAGAATGGAGACTATTAGCAAACCATGATGCTACTATGGAGCGCATCAGTCAGGTTCTCAGTAAAATGGACCTAAGTGGATGTATTGAGGAAATTCAGGAAGCACTGGCCAAACAGTGAGAGACATTGTATTATTTGCTTCATTTCCAAAGAGAATTCACTGGTGCACTGTTATTGTATCTTCAAGTTTGTTTTCCCACTGTACCATAAATGGATTTTTTAAAATATACGGTGCACCTCTAACATATGGAATCATCCAGTTTTAAGTGTGTGTGTGTATCTGTGTGTGTATATCTGTGTTTGTGTGAGAGGGAGGGATGGTGGGGAGGGAGGGAGGGGGGGAGGGAGAGAGAGAGAGAGAGATCATGTTGTCCTGGTCTTTTTCCCAGAGTTGGATGATCAGTTCCTTTGTTAGCCTTCTATTTTTTAAAGTCCTTTTGTATATGCCACAGGGAAAATGTAGGCAATTTCATCAGATGCTTTGTAGTTTATACTTTACAGTATAGTTTATACTTTGCAGTATAAGAGTTAGCTATTAAATATTCGTGCACTATAAAGTCAAACATGTTTGTTTTGTTTTTAATGAATATAATTAAAAAACAAACATCGAACTTGTGAAAGAATATAGACCTTTTTCTTATAGATCTTAATATAGTTCTTAAACAGGGAAGGAATGAACATATTAAGGGCGGGGAGGGGGGGCTTTCAGAAAAGATTATTCAGTTTTAAGGAAGAGGAAAGTATAAGAAAGAACACTACCACCTTGATTTTGGATTCTGTAAGATGAAGTAGAGAGAAACTCTGCCAAGTTTCAAAATTTTGCTTTTCTTCCCTACAATAATAAAGAGCATTCCTGGAATTCCGCTGTGCCTGTTTCTTGTGTTTGCTTATCTTGAATGGCTGCATGCACACTGTTTTTATTAGTAAAGCTTAATTTGTATAATAACTATAGGGTACACAATAATGTTTGGTATCTAGGATTTTCAGACTGGAGAACTTTACAAATCAGCATATACAACTAGTATTAAATCCATGAAAGAGATAGACAGATGTTATGTCTCCTCTTGGAAATTCAAACGAACAAACACAAAGCAGCCGTTTCACAATCAAATCAAACTGAAGGAAATAAGATAACAGCTGGCAGAAACTGTTAGGACTCCCCTTCAAAATTCAAACAAACAGAGAGCTCTTTGCAGTAACGTCCTCATTCAAAATAGTCATTTTGTTTCTGGCGAAAGGCACCAGCTCAGCTGTGTCCTTTTATACCCATTAAGGCAACGTGCTAATTAACTGGCTTGTCCTTCAGATTATCGTTTCCTGGTTCTGACGTCAATCCACGATCTAACAGTCATCAGATTCAAAACTCCCAACAGGACCGATCCTTCCAATCACACTATCCCCCACCGCAGGGCCCTTCCCCCGAGTCTGATGATTAACTTGACGATGTTTCGTTGACAACCCCACTCTGTCTCCCACAGCCAATGGAGGCGTCGCTCGTTCCAATTGTCTCAGGTGGTCTACACATTGGAGACTTGGAAAAGAAATACCGTTCTGCGACCAAGCCACCAACGGATTGTGCAAACGCAACCAGGACATTCCGAGCACCAAAGGGAGATGAAGGTTCGAGGTGATATAAAAACTTATCGCCTCCTCATGATCCCCAATGATCATACGCACTGGCTGGGTGGCGAAACGAATGGGCCCAGACTTGAGCTCACGCCCATCCACGGTTTCCACCTTAATGGGTGGATGTACAGCAACCAATGGGATCCCATAGTGCATAGCAAAAGCTCGGTCCATAAAGCTGGTTGTAGCCCCTGAGTCCACCAACGCAACAGCGGGAATTCCCTCCTTCTGTGACTGTAGAAAAATTCGAGTGTCCAAAAGTAAATGCCGAGGAGGGCCAGGATTTACTTCAGCAATTTGAGGTGGGGATGTGAAATGTGTCCGACCTAGGGTTTCCTTGAGATCAGGTCTACCCTGTTTTCCTGACGAGCCAAGAATGGTTTCGGGTACGGATCTGCGGGTCCCTCTCCGTTTGCAGGAATTAACAAAATGTCCCAGACCTCCGCAATAAAGGCACAAGCCTTCCTGGAACCTTCTCGAACGTTCTCGCACCGTTAAGCGAGGGCGGAGTGCGCCTAACTCCATCGGCTCCTCAACATTAACCGTGGGTTGTGCACGAGAAAACGAAGATGGTTCCATACCGAGCCGTTTGCGTCCACGTTGCTGTAAACGAGCTTCAATTCGTAAGCACTGAACTATCAATGCATCCAAAGTTAAAGCCCTCTCTGCATGGACCAGCTCATCTTTGATGACATCAGACAAGCCTTCCTGGAATGCAGCCATATGAGCCGGTTCGTTCCAATTGGAGTCCAAACACAGCAAACGAAATTCTGCAACGTATTCCTGCAGGGAACGTTTCCCCTGATTTATGTCCCATAATCGTCTGTCCACAGTTTGTATCTTAATTGGGTTCTCAAACATCACTCTCATTTGTTGAAGAAAACCCTGGAAATTATTCAACAACGGGCTATCTTGAACTAACAAGGGAGTAGCCCAATTAGCAGCCTGCCCGGTTAATAAACTGATCATAAATCCTACTTTAGACCGGTCAGTTGGAAAGTTTTCAGGCCTCAAGGACATAAATAATTGATACTGCCCCAGAAATGCCGGAAACATGTCCATTTGTCCTGAAAATTTCTCCGGCATGGATACTGGGCTTTTCCTCACAGGAGGGGTAGGGGGAACAACAGCAGGGCTTGGTAAGCTGGAAACATAATTCAGCAATTGTGTTACCTGATTCTGAAGCGTCACATTGTTTGCAGTAGCTGATTAATTTGTTGTTGTTGCTGCTCTACCAAACGCTGCAGTTGATTTGAATCCATCTTGCTTTAAAGATGGTTTGTTTAGGCCAGAAACAATAATGTTATGTCTCCTCTTGGAAATTCAAACGAACAAACACAAAGCAGCCGTTTCACAATCAAATCAAACTGAAGGAAATAACAAGATAACAGCTGGCAGAAACTGTTAGGACTCCCTTTCAAAATTCAAACAAACAGAGAGCTCTTTGCAGTAACGTCCTCATTCAAAATAGTCATTTTGTTTCTGGCGAAAGGCACCAGCTCAGCTGTGTCCTTTTATACCCATTAAGGCAACGTGCTAATTAACTGGCTTGTCCTTCAGATTATCGTTTCCTGGTTCTGACGTCAATCCACGATCTAACAGTCATCAGATTCAAAACTCCCAACAGGACCGATCCTTCCAATCACAACAGACAGATATATATGTGTGTGTGTGTGTGTGTGTATAAAATATAAATATATTATCTATATATATATAAGCGAAATGCCACTCACGCATCATCACAAAATCTCCAGAACTGTAAAGCCTACAAAGTTGAAATTTGGCACATATGTTCCTCTTGGCTTCTAGGTACTCACTAAGAAAGGATTTTTTCAAAATGACCATCAGAGCATAAGTATTTTGTATATTATTATTAACACGCTCTGATGCTAAGGATTTCTACTCCCCCTCCCCACCTGAGAAGAAATCTGTTCCAAATGCAAAACACAAGCAGAGGAGTTTCAGTTTTAGTTTCAAAGCACCAAGCAGCTTTAGTACAGAACAGTTGAGCTAAGCCACGCCCAGGCTCCTTGCTGTCTCCTTGCTCACACAGCAAATGCTGTTTCAGTTTCCAAACACACTGACAGGACGCTAACCAGATGAATACCGATGGACACTGGTAGGCAAAGGCAGAATTTCCCCCTCTTATTTTCCTCCCCCAAAACTAAGCCCGGCCACAGTTTCGTAGCAAAGCACGGATATAGAGCTAGTATATAGTATAAATATAAATCTTGGAGTCCTAGTGGACAATAATTTAAATAGGAGTCAGCAGTGGGCTGCAGCTGCCAAAAAAGCCAATGCACTCCTAGGCTGCATTAACAGAGATATAGAATCAAGATCACATTAAGTATTAAACAGTGGTGGGATTCAAAAAAATTTACTACTGGTTCTGTGGGCGTAGCTTGGTGAACATGGCTGGGTGGGCACGACAGGGGAAGGATACTGAAGGGTAAAGTCTCCATTCCCACCCCACTCCAGGAGAAGGAAACTGCAAAATCTCCATTCCCTCCCCATTCCTGGGGGAAAGTTACTGCAAAATCCCATTCCCGCCCCACCCCACTAACCTGCTTTCCAGCTCTGTTCTCCTGTGCAGGGCAACCAAAGAAGACCCAGCTGATCAGCTAGGACTCAGGAGGCACAGAATAGATGGGGGCGGAGATGGTATTTGCCAGTTCTGCGAACTACTCCAAATTTCCACTACCGCCACATGTGGTTGGAAAAAATGATAAAACAACATATAGACTTAAAACCAGAGACATTCTTACTGGGAATCTTGCCTGAAGGTTACAATAAAGGGATAACGTATTTGATTATCAATGTATTAACAGCAGCTAGAATTGTATTTGCACAAAATTGGAAAAATAAGAAAATTCTGACGGAAGAGGAAATTATTAAGAAAATAATGGAATGTGCAGAAATGAGTAGATTTGACAATGGCAATTAGAAAACAGGAAGAAAAAGATTATTATAAAATTTGGAATTTATTCTATGAATGACTAGACAGAAGAGTAAGAAATTGAAATATGTAATAATAGTATATCATAATTGATTGAGTCAAACTGAGTAAGAAAATGAATATAATTTAAGTAAAGATTAAATATATTTTTGAAAGACAGTAACTATAATGTTAATGATAATATAACAATTGATAAATGTGATATAAAATACTGATTAGAATGGTTATATAAACAAGAAATGTATGATAATATTATGTGCACAAGATATATGTACCCAACTAACACACTGTTGAACAGAAAGATGGTTTTATTTGTCTTTGTTTTTGTTATAAAAAACTTTTGCAAAAAAAATAATCCACTACCATTTCTCCAGAACTGGTCAGAACCTGCTGGATACCATCTGTGGTGTTAATACTTTATAATGCCTCAGACCTAGTCCTCTCTTTATTCTAAACTCAATTGATTCCATGGAAATAGCAGTTCTGAATCTCTTTTCAACTTCTTTGAGTGACCACGGGAGAATCCTTGTCATTCAAAGGATTCCCCTGAAGAATATGAAAACACCTTAGAGGACTTCAGCACCTTGAAGGAGAGGATCTGGGATCCTGGTGAAATTTCAAAGAGGTGCCCTATTTTTATCTGTATTA